GGGAGAAAAAAGGAATATAACATATATACAATACATACACATACATATATACGTATGTACATATGTATGTATGTATATGTATATATACACACACATACATACATTTACACATAAAACACACACACATATACAGTATAGAGACACACATATATACATAAACATTACATATAGGGATTATCTTTTCTATAATATTTCCAAATATTAATCCTAAATTGAAGCTGATTTTAAAATAGCTGAAGGGAAATATCATTTCCCATCTGTTCTACAAATATAAATTTTTGGATTAGGGCTGACTAAGAGATAGGAAAGTGACAGTATGTAGATATTTTGATATGAGCCCCCCCCCTTTTTTTTCCCATGAACCTTTCTGTGTTGTCTTTTCATGTCTATATAAGACACGGAGATTCTGTATATTTTGAAGTTGCTTAGTTTATCAAATATGAGTTCTATGAGGTCTGAAGCTGAGATGGTGGCAGTGCCCATAGCGTAGTGGATGGCGACACCTGATTTCTTCCACATCCACTGAAAAACTAAATTAGGGGAATCTTGTGACACTTCCTCTGGTTGTGTAGATGTACTTAATAGGATGGGATCTCTTTGACATTCTGACACTTTATCTGACCCCATACACACCACCCCAAAAGACCTCCTAGTACTTCAAAGAAGCAGTTGGAATACCTGTGTTCCTGGTTTATCTGGTTCAATTGTTGAGGATTATGTTTCTTATCTGGAAGGGGGACATTGATATGCCCACCTTGGTCCAGAAGGGAGAACTGGGGGTTTGAGTAAGATGGGGGGATTTAAGGTATAGGTAGCTCCATCTTGATAGTGAGAACCAGGTTTCATGGCTCAGGTTCATTGCTTGAAAGATGTCCCACCTGGCACTTGGCTTCTACTCTCAGTGCCTGGCTATCACAACCTTGATAGCCCTGGGTTCAAGCTTCAAGGTGCTAGATGTTACTTTTAAAGCCCTACATGGTTTAGGACCTGGCTACCTGAGAGACCGCTTCCTGCCATTTACCTCCCAAAGACCGATAAGATCGCACGGATTGGGCCTCCTCCGGGTGCCATCGGCCGGTCAATGTCAGTTGGTGAATCCCTGGGGGAGGGCCTTCTCTGTTGCTGCCCTGGCCCTGTGGAACGATCTCCCCGTAGAGATCTGGACCCTCACTACTCTCCCGGCCTTCTGTAAAGCTGCCAAGACCTGGCTGTTCTGGCAGGCCTGGGGCTGTTGATGAGTATCCAGCCCCACGCTAAGTTGTGTGCATGATGTGAAAATTTTTTAATCAACTGTATTCTTATTTTTATATGTCCCCTATTTTGTATGTAAGCTGCCCAGACTCCCTAGGGAGTGGGTGGCATACAAATGCTACCAAACCTTGAAACCTTGAAACCTTGTTGCTTTTGAATGCCAAGTTGATGTCTAAGAAGGTTGCTCTCACCCAGTGGTGGGATCCTGACAGTTTGACAACCGGTTCAGTGATTGCACACATGCTCAGTTTTAAGAAAACTTACTTTCTGCATTACTGCTGGGGAGTAACAGAGCTGAGGAATCCACTCTGCTGCCTGAATCAGCTGAGAAGATGTAGGTCAGTAAAGCAGAGGAGTGGGTGGGCCCACCTGATCATCGGCGCAAACTGGTTCACTCCCAGCTGATCGTTGGAGCTACTGGTTCACTTGAACCGGTCCGAACCAGTAGAATCCCACCAAGTGGGATTCTGGCAAGTATGCCCCAGTACGGGCATACCGGTGCCTGCTATGAGCTGCAGGCACCATTCTGGTACGATGCTGCGGAGGGCCCTCCCACCTGCTCACTCTCATTACCTCTATTTGAGCTGACTGGGGCATATGCACATGCACACACAGAGTATGGTGCCTGCACGATGCTCCGCCGAGCAGCTGGAGCATTGCAGGGTGGTGGTGCTCATGCGTGCGCAGCACACGTGCACATGGTTGACTCCTGATCACCCGTCGCAGCGTATCAGTTGCAACAGGATCCGGAACCCACCACTGATCCCACCCCTGCTTTCATCCATGATGTTATCTGCATGCCTCACTGAAGCATGGTTGTGCCCAGAAACTCATGATGCCCATTCTCATTCAGAAATTTGGCCACCCTGGGTTTGCCCCAGGAGAGAGCCCAGGGGAGAGGAGGAAAAGTGGTTTGTTAACTGTGGTTTATTATAGGCTCTCAGAAAGCAACACTCACACACACATAGGATAGCTATGCAAACATTTCCATGGCCTTATAAAGCATATTATATGAATAAGCTTCTTGAAGGGGAAAAAAATGACCCCAGCTTATTTCTCTTATAAACTATAGTTCAGCTTGTCTCCACTGAATTAATATACTTTGGGGTTACCATAATTTTTTGATCCATTGGCCAACAATTCAATGTCAGAGGACTAACCATGTTTAAAATGTTTAAAGGGAACCATTTTAGAAGTAGCTTCTTTCTACATTTCATGACGAAAGGCACCTCTAAGGAGCAGCGGTCTCATCTTTGGACAGCAATAGGACCCCTGACATTTTTTTAATGGAGATTTCTAAACAGGTTTACCCCATTTTACACTTTTCAATATCCCTGACCTACATAAATATGTGAAGCAAGTCATCACACTAAGTCATCATCTGGATTATATATTTTGGCATGGCACATTAGGCCATTGTAGTGGTTTTCTTCCATTAACCTGGGTTAAAGGTGTTGTTTGAACCTAGGGAAGTCTGGGATACTTTTCTTCCTATCACAGAAACACTGGGTTGTGCCTCTTTTTTAGAAACTTTTGATGCCTCTTTTATAGGTGTCTGCATATTTTCTTCCAGGGGGAACAATAGTAATAATACTTAGAGTTATATACTGCTTCACAGTGCTTGTACAGCCCTCTCTAAGCAGTTTACTGAGTCAGCATATTGCCCCCAACAATCTGGGTCCTCATTTTACCCACCTCAGGAGGATGGAAGGCTGAGTCAACCTTGAGCCTGGTGAGATTCGATCTGCCAAACTGCAGGAAGCTGGCAGTCAGCAGAAGTAGCCTGCAATACTGCATTCTAACCACTGCGCCACCGAGGCTATGAAAATGATTGTTCAGTTCCAGGGAGGCTTTATTGGAGTGGGCTAGGTGGACAGTAAGAGCTTTGCTCTCGGTTGTTGACATGTTCCCATCAATCTTCCCCTTTAGTTTCATACATCGGGTCATTTTTAATTGAAGCTCCATATTGCATTCAATTTTAATGTAGTCTTCTTCCTTGTGTTGGACTATCTGGCTTTGTTGGTTGAATTTCAGGTGGTTAGAGTTGCCTCTAGATACAATATAATAGCAGAGTTGGAAGGGACCTTGGAGGTCTTCTAGTCCAACCCCCTGCCTAGGCAGGAAACCCTATACCATTTCAGACAAATGGCTAGAGGGGCTCAACCTATTCTCCAATGTACCTGAAGACTGGACAAGAAACAATAGATAGAAACTAATCAAGGAGAGAAGAAACTTAGAACTAAGGAGAAATTTCCTTACAGAAGAATTAAAATAAGTGGGATGCCTCTGGGAATTATTGGTACTCTAACACTGCAGGTTTTTAAAAAGAGATTGGACAACCATTGGTTGTTAATGGTACATGGTTACATGCATGAGCAGAGGGTTGGACTGGAAGACCTTCAAGGTCCAATGTCAGGGTTCCAAGTAACACTCCCCAACCAAATAAGACTCTGAGGCAAGCAGTTCCTCAAAGATGCATTTCATTAGAGATGTCATATTGGCACATCTGGGAAACCCTGAATCTGAAAGCGCCCCACCCAAAAGAAAGTGAAAATCCCTTCCCCCGCAACCACATGTCCATCACATGCTCAAATCAATCCAGGGGCCCAACTTAAAATTCCTCCCAGTCATGCCACTGGAAAGAAATAAGGGAAAGGAGGAGGAATTGAAGGATGTAAATAGGAAGATAAAAGACATATAAACAAATACTTTACAAATTTGCAGAGAGAAATATTTGAAAATCACTGTTTTTATTAATGAAATACAGGAAGTCCCCAACTTGCAACTGTTCATTTAGTGACCATTCAATGACCCTGAAAAAAGAGACTATTTTTCACAATTACAACCTTTGCAGCAACCTGAGATCAAGTTCTAGTTTGAGCCAGCAGTGTGCAGCAGCAGCAGCCAAAAAACCTCATACAATCTTGGGTTGTATAAACAAAGGCATAAAATCAAGATCACATGAAGTATTAGTACCGCTTTACAAAACCTAAAGGAGACCACACTGGGAACACTGCAACCAAGTTTGGTCACCATACTACAAAAAAGATGCTGAGACTTTGGAAGAAGTTCAGAGAAGAGCAACTAAGATGATCAAAGTACTGGAGATTAAAATATATGAAGAAGGATTTGGGTTTGGCTAATCTAAAGAAAAGAAGAATTAGGGGCAACATTATAGCAGTATTCCAGTATTTGAGGGCCTGCCACAAAAAACAGGGGATCAAATTATTCTACAAAGCACCAGAGGGCAGGACGAAAAAAAATAGTTGAAAAATAATCAAAGAGAGAAGCAAGATGGAATTATGGAGAAACTTCCGGACAGCAAGGCCAATAAACCAGTAGAAAAGCTTGCCTTCAGAAATCGTGGGTGCTCCATCTCTGGAAGTGTTTAAAGAAAAGATTAGAGAGTCACTTATCTGAGGTAGTATAGCTTCTCCTGCTTGAGCAAGGAGCTGGACTAGAAGACCTCCAAAGTGCTATCCAGCTCTATTCAATTCTATATGTAGATCTGATTTATTTTTTGTTTACTCTTACATACAGTATATGTGAACATAGTGTATATTTTCTTTCAAATGCAAGGAACATGTACAATTTACAACTACATAACATCAGAGATTGGATGTTTTCTTGCAGATGTTTCATTTCATTTGCTTGAAAATGTAATACACTTGAAACAGAAACTAACAAACTTATAATAATTGCAATGAATTAAAAAATAAATGTCATGAGCCTAAGAAACAATTTCACTATCAGTTCCCTACTTTTACTATTAGATGTTCCTTAGTGTTTAGATGAGGTCTCAGGAGGATGATGTAGCACTTGGGAAAGAAGATGCAGCCCAGCAGTCCAACACTGGAAGTCAAGATGGAGAAGATCTGCACAATCACCATGGACTTTCCTTTGGTGCTCAGATAGGTGGGCATGAAGGAGATCCAGACACTGCAAAAGACCAACATGCTGAAGGTGATCAGCTTGGCTTCATTGAAGGCCCCAGGAAGGTTTCTGGCCAGGAAAGCTACTGTGAAGCAGATGGGAGCTAGGAAACCCATGTAGCCCAGGACAATATAAAACATGGTGACAGAACCTTCGTTGCATTGAAGGATGATCACTCCTGGCTGGGAGTGGAGGTCAGAGTCAGGGAATGGGGGAGAAACTCCCAGCCAGATGGAGCAGATGATAATTTGGATAGAGGAACAAGAAAGGATGATGGAGTTGGCCAAGCTCTTCCCCAACCATCTCTTTACTCGATTTCCTGGTTTCGTGGCAAGGAAAGCCAGCACCACTGTGATCGTTTTGGCCAACACAGAAGACACGGCTACTGAGAAGACAATGCTGAACACTGTTTGTCGGAGAAGGCAGGTGACTTTCCTTGGTTGACCAATGAAGAGTAAAGGAGACAGGAAGCAAAGCTGGAGGGATACAAGGATGATGTAGGAGAGGTCCCGGTTGTTGGCTTTGACAATGGGAGTTTCTAGGTATTTAATGAATATGATTAAAACAAAGACGGCAACTAGGAACAAAAGTAGGGCAAAGGAGACAAGGACAATGCTAAATAGTTCTTCATAGGACAGGAAGGAGATCATTTTGGGGATACATTGGATTCGGTTCTCGGTTGAATATTGATCATCTGGGCACTTGGTGCATTTTTCAGTATCTGAGAAAATAGAAAGAAATATTTCTTGTATAGTTTCTCCTTCCAAATTTCAAGAAAGACTTGCTTAGATGACAGCTGATACATACAGACAGGAAAGGCCTAGTATAATGGTAAAAAGGAGCCTGTACATAAAGATATACATACACAATTTCAGTATATGTATGATTTTATAAAGAATAACAAAATAATACCCCAAAGAGTAATACCGGGCACCACAACTACCCTTCACTGTGTCCACCCACATGTTCAGCCTGCTCTTACCTCACCCTATACCCATGATGGCAAATCTCTGGCACACATACCAGAGGTGGCATGCAAAGCCCTCTCTGTGAGCACACACTCCATGACTCCGGGGTCTCAGTGCATGTGTCCGCCCATATCCAAGCATGTTCAAGCATGCATGGTTTTTCAGGCACATGTTTGCACATTCTCATGGCCATGTTCACACATGTGTGCCTTGCAGTGCATGGACACAGTTTGGGCACTCGGTGCCTAAAAGGTTTGCCATGACTACCCTATGCCAATGCCTGGCCTAGTAAAGGCTATGCAGGCAATGTTGTAACAAGAAACGGGCCTATTTTTGCGAAAAAGGAGACATTTTTCCTCATTTTTGGGGGGGGCACCCAACAGGAGCACTTTACAAGCCTCTTAAGGGCTATTCATGCCTTTTAAAAAAAACGGGCCCAGTTTTGTGAAAAACGCCCACTTTGGGGAGGTTTGCAGAGTGCAAAAACTTTTTTTTTTAAATTTGCCTCTTCAAAACCTTGGAACGTCTTATACTCCAGTTTGTCTTATGTTCCAGAAATACGGTATGTGTTGGTGTATATCTTTCTAACAATCTTGTTTATTTTAAACAATGTCATGGTTTTAATCTCGTTTTAAATGTGTTTTCTTCTTGATTTTACTTTATGTCACCCTGAGTCACTTTGTATGATAAATAAAATTTTAAAAATATTTAAATGAAAAGGTTAATTCCTGATGTAACTCAGGACATAAACATTTAAATGAAATAGAATAGAATAGAATAGAATAATAGAGTTTGAAGGGACCTTGGAGGTCTTCTAGTCCAACCCTCTGCCTAGGCAGGAAACCCTATATCATTTCATATAAATGTTTATCCAATCTCTTCTTTAAAATATCCAGTGTTGGAGCATTCACAACTTTTGGAGGTAAGTTGTTCCACTGATTTATTGTTCTAACCATCAGGAAATTTCTCCTTAGTTCTAAGTTGCTTCTCTCCTTGATTAGTTTCCACCCTTCTTGCTTCTTGTCCTATCTTCAGGTGCTTTGGAGAATAGCTTGACTCCCTCTTCTTTGTGGCAGCCCCTGAGATATTGGAACACTGTTATAATGTCACTCCTAGTCCTTCTAGTCCTACAAATAGAATCTTTTTTTCTTTTTCTTTCCTCTTTATTTCTTTATTTCTTTCTTTCTTTCTTTCTTTTCTTTTGGTGCTGTAATTCTTTCTATTTCACTATTTAATAACCAAAACAATTGGAAGGAGGAGAAGTAGGAAGACCAAGTAGCAATCCTACCAAGGAATCCATTTCGGTGGTTATAGTGAACCTGGGATTATTGATATGAGCTACAAATAATATTTGTGTTTAACTCTTAAACTATAACATAGACATTTAGAGCACTGTAGAAAGAAGATAAAGATTTATTCCCAATATTGGAGAGGGAGAGAGGGAGAGAGAGAGAGATGCCCTTAAGAAAAATTTGACATGGGCGAGGGAGATGTATTGACCTGAAACCATACCTCATATTTTAAAAAAAGTTCAATTGTTGCTAAGAAAGGACAGGATGGAAGGACACTTCCAAACTGACAAGTAGAAGAGAGATTCATTCTAGCAGATGCACCATGTCTTTCTATCGCATGCTACCTTATCCTTCCAAATCTTTTTCTTACTCAGCCCAGAANAACAAGTAGCTTGTGTGCTGATTACCCTATTTTTCAGAGTATAAGACACACCTTTTTCCCCTCAAAAAAGGGGCTGAAAAACTGGGTGCGTCTTATACAGCATTTTTTGCCTCCTGAACCCATCCCCCCTTCACCCAAATGGCCATGTAGAGCCTGTAGAAGGCTTTCAGTGAGTTCCTGGTAGCTGGAGAAGGCAGAAATGAGGGGAAAATGGGACATATTTTGCTCAATTTTGTCCCCCTCCCCCCCAGGAGTACTCTGTAAGTCTCCTAAAGGCTATGCATACAATGTTGTGACAAGAAATGGGCCCATTTTTGTGAAAAATGAGCCACTTTTGCTGATTTGAGGGGGCCACCCACCAGGAGCACTTTACAAGCCTCTTAAAGGTTATTCATGCTTTTTTAAAAATAACAGGCCATTTTGGAGAGGTTTGCAGAGTGCACAAACTTTATTTTTAATTTCCTTCTAACAATCTTATTTATTTTAAACAATGTCATGGTTTTAATCTCATTTTTAATATGTTTTCTTCTTGATTTTACTGTATGTCACCCTGAGTCACTTTGTGTGATAAATAAAAATTTTAAAATATTTAAACGAAAAGGTTAATTCCTGATGTAAATCAAGATTTAAACATTTAAATGAAATAGAATGGAATAGAATAGAATAATAGAGTTTGAAGGGATCTTGGAGGTCTTCTAGTCCAACACTCTGTCTAGGCAGGAAACCATATACCATTTCAAATGTTTATCCAATCTCTTCTTTAAAACTTCCAGTGTTGGAGCATTCACAACTTTTGGAGGCAAGTTGTTCCACTGATTAATTGTTCTAACCGTCAGGAAATTTCTCCTTACTTCTAAATTGCTTCTCTCCTTGATTAGTTTCCACCCATTGCTTCTTGTTCTGCCCTCAGGTGCTTTGGAGAATAGCTTGACTCCCTCTTCTGTGTGGCAGCCCCTGAGATATTGGAACACTGCTATCATGTCACTCCTGGTCCTTCTAATCCTACAAATAGAATCTTTTCTTTTTCTTTCCTCTTTCTTTCTTTCTTTCTTTCTTTTCTTTTCTTTTGCTGCTGTAATTCTTTCTATTTCACTATTTAATAACCAAAACAATTGGAAGGATGGGAAGATAGCAATATATAGCAATAGCAGTAGACTTATATACCGCTTCATAGGCCTTTCAGGCCTCTCTAAGCGGTTTACAGAGAGTCAGCATATTGC